AATATGTGAGATGTTGTAAGCTTCTTAAGTGCTTGTTGTAATGTAGTACCTTGAATATCTGGTAAATACCTATATTAAATTTGTCCATGAATTACTCCAGACGTCATATAATGTGTGAGTTATGTTAATAAAATTGGCGAGCATACTTTAGTTTAATGCAAAATGTATATAAAATCAAACCTTTCCCTAGACCCAATGCAGTGATTTTTTAACTTTCGGTTTATGTACATGTGATATTGTGGCGAACACGAATGCTAGATCAAAATAGAATCAACGATAAACTGCTAGGACCAAGTAGATATGGAAATTCGTAGTTGCCAGAATGTTCGATTGGCGAGACAATCTACTATATAAGGGCTGCCGGATTGTGCAGCAGACACAGTTCTACTTAGATTGTTGTGGCAAGAGCGAGATATAAGTAAGAAATTGCAAGCTCGGATAAAAAATAGTAAAGCGTTAAGTTGTTGGAATTAGAAATAAAGATAAGTGTATAGCCATTAAATTGGGTCTTTTATTTAACAATCCAGTGATCGAACTCAAGAGTGAGTTACAAGGTAGTCGATTTATCGAGAAATTCGTTACAACTGATGCCAGAAGTCGGAATGTCAAATAAATTCAAGGAGATAATTATTTGAAAATGGCTAAGTTTAACGACTTGAAGATTTCACAATTAAAAAATGAGCTTTAGTAACGTGGTTTGGCGAAAAATGTATTAAAAACTGAATTATAACCACGGTTGCGAGAGGCCGTTGGGACGAAAAACATTAATGTTGAGGAATATGTTTTTCAATTGGAATTGAAGAAAGAGACAACGAAGATAGAAGAAAAGGAGGAGACTCAATGCTCATCAAAAACTATGGACATAAACATGATTTTGGCTGCAATGTCGTAGAAGTCAACGCAGGCAGAAGTCGACACAGAGTTTAAGAGCGGGATGCAAGTATGACCATAGAAATGTCGCAGTTAGAAACGCAGTTGGAAGAGCAGTACACAGCGCAAGATGCACGTATATCAGCACAGGTGTCCTCACATCAGTAGGACGCAAGGATATCGCAGGTGACCTCACAAATAGCAGAAGATCACACATTTCGGAAGAGCGAAATTCAAATAAGACTAAAGAGGATGACTTAAAATTTCATCTCCGCGAGCTACAATTAAATCGGTCAATTATGTCGTCAGCTTCTGCCAAGAAAAAACCTCCATCCTTTGATGGCACAATTACGTTCCATGTGTTGAAGCTTCAATTCGAACAGACGGCATTTTCAAACGCTGAAGATAAAAAAACTTTATTCGTTGCATTAAAACTATCTGTAGCAGAGATATTACAAACCATTCCACTAATTATTCTAACTATTATTCGTTGCATTAAAACTATCTGTAGCAGAGATATTACAAACCATTCCAAACTGCGAGGCGAGTAGTTATGAAACGTTGAAACGCATGTCCAAATACTGACGGGTTAATAAAGACGTAAGACCATTAGCTGGGGCAAATTTGTACTGCAACTCGAGATGATACTCAAGTTCTCGGAGAAGTAACGTGTGAAATCGTAATTTGAAGTAGCCATGTTACACAATTTTATAGTGGCAAATATCGTCGACGAAGTCATAATTGGAGTAGACTTTCTTGCAAATCAAGGATTAAAAATCAACTTACTTATAGACAAACCCTGGCTATGACAAGACAAAATAAACATGTTCCAGTAAGAGTACTTAATAAGTACAAGTCATCAATTAAACTTTCCAAAGGAGCTATGTTAGGGCAGTGTCAGGAGAGTGAGGCCGTGATAAATTGTGAAATACGCCTTGGACAATAACGATATATCGAGCGAAATTAATGCATAGACCAAATAACTCCTATTTCATATTTAATAAAGACGATGCCAAACCAGGAACCAGAACCAAATTTATATTAACACAGGTGATGCAAGACCAATCCGGCAGGATCCTCAAAGCGTTCCTTTAGCAAAACGTGAAGTTGTAAGCCAGACCATACATGAAATGAGCGAAAGCGGTAGTACTTGTGAACAAGAAAAATGGCAACATGAGATTCTGTGTGGACCATGGAAGGTTGAATGATGTAACGAAGAAAGACAGTTATCCACTACCTAGAATCGATGACACGCTGTAACGCACCTGCTATCTTTGAGATACTTATGGACCAGGTATTAAAAGTATTACACTGGAAGACTTATTTGGTATACTTCGACGATATCAACGTGTTTGGTAAAAGCTTCGCTTCACACCTTAAGACACTTTTCTAACGGATAACTAGCGCCGGTCTAAAGCTGAGTTCAAAGAAGTGTTCCCTATTAAAAAGGGAAGTAAGCTACTTAGGACACAAAGTGACAACGGATCGTATTTGTACAGCTAATGAAAAGATAGAGGCAGTAAAAGATTGGTTGAGTCCTAAAAATTTACATGAATTGTGGAGTTTACCAGCGTAGCTAGTAGCCTCCATGAACTCACGTAAAAAAACAGAGTTTTTGATTAGAATAAAGGACAGGAAAGAGGCTTTTCAAACACTGAAAAAATGGTTAAGTACTAGACCAACGTTCGCATAGCCGGTCTCAGGATCAGCGTTTATCTTGGATACGGATGCTGAATGAAAAAGGGATTGCGTATTACAGCCAGACAATAAGCAAGTCAGAAATAAATTATTGTGTAACTCGCAGAGAATTACTGGAGTTGGTGAAATGTATCAAAAATGTTCACAAGTACATTAATGGCCAACGTTTTCATGTAAGGACAGGTCATGAAGCATTAAAAGGGTTTCTACAATTCAGTAACCCAGAAGGACAGTTGGCACGGTGCATTGAGAGGCTCCAAAGTTATGACTTCTCTATGGAACATCGCAAAGGTAGTAGTCATGGCAATGCGGATGCGATGTCCTGCCATCCCTATAGTTTGGAATGCAGACACTGATCAAAAGCTCAGACTAAAGAAAACATTATAGATGTCTGATTAATGACAATAATATCAGACTGGGATCCGAAGGAATTACGGAAATGACAGCAGGAAGATTAAGATTTGAAATGTGTAATACTTGGATTGGAGATATAGCTTAAAGTTAGTATCTGGCTGCTTGTTTCGGGTATGGGAAAGCGAAGATGGATAAAGCTCTCGAACTCTGATAATTGTTCCGAAAGTAATAATTCCCGAAGTTCACAACGAGCTGCATAACGGTATAAGTGGAGGACACATGGATATCAGCAAAACCTTAGAGAAATTAAAACAAAAATTTTATTGGGTTGGTTAGCGTCAATCAGTCACGGAGTGGATCGCCAATTGTGTCGTGTGCGTTGCTACTAAAGAGCCGAGGTCCAAGTGTCTTGGTCAGATGAAGATGATTAGGAAACAAATATGTTTTGATAGTCATAGACTATTTCAGCAAATGGCCGGAGGTATATGTAGTTCCTAACCAAGAGGCAGAAACAGTAGTGGTGATGATTTGGTAACAACCTACTATATAAGGGCTGCCGGATTGCGCAGCAGACAAAGTTCTAGTTAGAGTGTTATCGCGTAAAGAGCAATTTAGATATAAGTAAGAAGTTGTAAGCAGAAAGTAGAAATAAAGATAAGTTTATAGCCATAAAATTGGGACTTTTATTTAATCGAAGTATTTCGAGTTACAAGGTAGACGATTTATCTAGAAATACGTTACAATATTTTATGGACATATTTTCTTCACATTCTTGATGTGGTTTAACGTCATAAAATAATGAAATCGAACCAATATTTTATCTACGCACACATGCCTAATTTCATCTCACCTTTACTCTTCTATTGTCAAATGTATCGGTTAATATATTTTAGTGTAATTATTACAAACTCATATGTCGATTCATTTGCTCTGTAAACCACCATATTACTAACTTATTAACGGGAGACGTGATGCTAATATGAGGATGGCTGTCAATTATTCGTTCTGAATGTATTGCGGCAGTTTTACTTTTGTAAGTTTGATGAGTAAGCATTACGTTCTACGCGCAAATGCTGGCAACACTGCCAACGTCACACGTTCTATCGGGAAATTGTTGATAATATGTTCAAAGGCAGCATAAAAATGTTTGCTGTGTTCTTAGATGGAGGAGGAATTGTATGTATACAAGTGAAATTTGCATTAAATATTATTTTTATGTTCGATATAATTTATTATTTGTTTTTAGCGTAAAATTTTGCGAAAATCAATACTTCTGAAAAAGTTTTTGATTTTGATAACTTTCCTTTTTTTTGCAGTAATCGTGTTTTTGTCTTCTTTTTTTCGTATTTATCAAAAAATTGTGACCTTACTTTTTCAACATTTCATCTGCGAGATATACATATGTGTTAAAATCTCCATATTTCTAAGCAACACCGTCTGCGCAAAATAATTAGCACAATAATACAGCACAGTATCAGCCGAGCATCAGCAACAGAGTATCAAGTTATGCTTCAGTTAGTCACCGACCTTCCGTATTTACCGTCCGTATCAAAAGAAATTTGTCAAAAGTTATGCCCGAAGTGGCAACGTTGAAGTCAGTTGTTATCCTTTGTTTTCATTTCACCAATATTGCCATTGTTCAATTTGTAAACACGATTTTGTACACATTAAGATTTTTAGTTAAAATTTTTCATAATGTAAAAGATCAAAACTAATATCCAACTATTAAAAATAGTCTACATTTTTATAAATAAATGTATTCGACTGTGATTTTGAGTTAGTTTAAAAATATTTCAAATATATTCAAGTTAATTTTTTAATTACTACACAATATCGAAACTGGCAACCCTCCTGAACTGAGGTAACTGTCACAGTTCAAGAGGTTTGACGTTTAGCAATTGGAAAAAGAAAGACGGCAATTGATAAGCTAGTTTTTCTGAATGAGGTCTGATAAAGGAGAGGATAAACTTTATAGTCTACTCGAGGAAGTGTTAAATAACTTTGCTAAATTGAAATGTTCGAGCAATATATTTAATTTTAAATATCAGCAACTTTTAATAAGATATATGTCAACTTACCCTAAATGTTACAGTGTAATTTTTATTAAACGAAACGTTTACTTTTGTTGTATGTTCCTTATATGTTAAAGGACCAATATCCTCAACTTTTATTTTATCGTCGACTCCAGCGAAATATTTGTCAATGTTTGTGTAGTTGAATATATGCACCTTTAGTAGAGTATCATATTTAGTATTTGGATTCATCCAATTTTTGGTGCTTTCAGAGTCATTTTTCAAAATTATTTGCTGAAATTGAAAAATTCGTTAAAAGTGTTTGCAAAAATAATTGTAGTAACCATTACCGAAAGCATCGTGTCGTTATAATATTCTGTAAACCACATGATAAAAAATCCAGTGATACTTATTATAAAAAGTAACAGCATTACTCCTAATACTAAAGAAAAACACAATTAATTAATATACGCTCATGTATATAGAACCTAAAAAGTTATATAAATTTACTCAATGTTAAGAACTTACGTGTTAGTGCTCCAAATTCTTTGACCCCTTCCTTTTCTTTTATTCCAGGTATTTCAAAAACGTCAGCGAATAAATGTTGATTTTGCTTTACATTTTCTTTACTACAGTTTTTACTGATATTTAAAGAGCTTTCCTTACTTAAGGAATTCGTTTTACTATTATTACAGTTTACTGAATGTTCTTTAACGGTTTCATCATCTGCGATGACTTCGTGACTTTCTTGGTGATCTATAATCTGCCTGAAATTATAATATAGTATATAAAATAGGGACATTTGGTCAGCATATGGTGAAGTTAATATATTAATCAGTTAGGAATTATTATTTAATTTTATTGGGGGAATGTCTGTGTTTGTACCAAGGCTTGGATAATGGGGAAGCCTAAAGTAGGAAAGAAAGATTAAATAGAGAAAAGTACGAGTATAAGAATTTTCCATCAAAAATGGCCGGTATTCGTAAAAATATTTTTGTTAAATAAAAATTATTTTGATTTGTTGTTTTATAGAATTACAAAAAAGCAAAGAAGCAAGAGAGCTAAAAAGAAGGTAAGCAGGTGAATTTGTATAATATTTGTAAGGTAATCATTTAATATGATTACAGATAGGAATTCTGATACGTTAATATTGGAATATCGGTAAAATTGGTAATACCTTTCGATATTTTTCGATGAAGATTGTCGCCAAATACATATACACCGTATATATTGGTTAATATGTAAGATATAGTAAAATACTTAAGCGAACATATTCACTTGGATATATGGGAAAACGGTTGAAATTCTTTCTAAGCTATCATGTAACATACCTACACATATATAATATATTAACAATTTCGTTATTCGAATATGACTCATATTTAAATGACATTTAGTGGACACACAATGAGATTCAAAGACAAAAAGGAATAAAACCCATCCAAATCTTGGTCCAACCCATAAAATAATGATGAATTCTAGGCCTTCAATTGATTTTTCCCTTATGGCATCAGCAATATGTCATCCGGTAGTAAAAATTAGTGTTATCAGTATATATCTATTTTACACTCAACGAGGTAAGTAGCATACAACCTTCGGTCTTATTTTACAAAACCCAGAAGATTTATTTAATGTTTTTCTTTCAATAAAATTCCACATATAAACACTACAGAAAACAAGAAATTTTATATATGCAATTTTAAAACTTTATATTATATTAAACAATGTTTCGTAACATTCAATATGCATTATTCAAAGAAACCGAATGGATTTCAATAAAATTTTGTATTTTATTAACTTCGTATATTATAGGTCGTAAACTCCCTTATGGTAGTTTCATTACAACATTTTGCTCGTGTCCGAAATATTAATATTAAAATCAATCCAACTGCGAAAATGAAATATGTGAATATGATATAAACTCAACCAAAGAGGCTAAATTTAATATTGGGTAAGATAATGAGGAAAAAGCCAATCAAATTATCGGAAGTCATTATATTAGGGATATGAGGTTTAGAGCAAGTACTAGACCAATTTCATTCATATTCAGGGCTATATCACTTTAGGGCTAAGAAATCCATTTAATTTCATTAAAATATAACAATAAAAACAAAAAATATATTAAGTCAGATGGAAAGTCAAAATGCAATATCGCGTAGTTTGAGGCTACAGAAAGATCTGAAATGATTGCATTAACTTTTTCCATTACTCAAATATAGTCGAGAACACATTTCCAACCAATTTTATGGAGATAACTCACACACTGATCTACATATTTGGCAAAAAGTCTGCTAGAACAACAAATACATATGTTATCTTATACATACATATATAAAAATGAAACGCTATTTCGTAATGTACTCGCAGAACGTCTGAAAATTTTCACAGTTCTTCATTTATTACTACAGAAGGACCTAAAGTGGCATTCTTGTAAAATGTTGAACAAAACAATACATACATTAGACATAGAACATGTGACGTGTCCTCTTCTGCTCTCCTCCTGCACAGTTGTACGCTGTAACTACTATGTTCAGTCGGTAAGTTATAGGTATCCTCACATATCACATTACAATCGATGCTTAATCCTTCCTATTTTGATCGCAAGCGAAGCCGTGAGTTTAGGCTAGTATATATATATATATGGGAGTTAGAGTAATTCGTGATTTCACACATATTCGGAAATAAGTTGTGGTATATCCAATATTCTACGTTCACCCAATCTTGCTAAAACATATTACGTATTGCTAAAACATATATCGCGGATTTCACTCATAGATGGCTTCAGTTGAATTTTTAGGTTTGCTGGCATAGTCCAAATGTAAAATACATTTTGTTACTTGATAGTTGGCAATTCAGCTGTCAATCAGTAAAAAAAAAGTTTTTTGATCGGTTGTGTAGTTTGCACTTGGCGTTCGTTGAAAAATGAAAGATCAAAAGGAACATTTTCGTCATATTTTGATTTTTTATTTTCGCAAGGGGAAAACCGCATCGCAAGCTCACAAAAAGTTATGTGCTGTTTATGGCGACGAAGCCATAAAAAAACGGCAGTGTCAAAATTAGTTTGCCAAATTTCGTTCTGGTGATTTTTCACTCAAAGCTGAAAAACGCTCTGGTCGTCCAGTTAAAGTTGATAACGACCTAATCAAAGCAATAATCGATTCGGATCGTCACAGTACAACACGTAAGATTGCAGAGAAGCTTCAGGTATCACATACATGCATTGAAAATCACTTAAAACAACTTGGCTATGTTCAAAAACTCGATACATGGGGTCCTCACGAACTGAAAGAAAATTACGTATTGACTGATATATTGTACAAACTCATATTAATGGTAAATATAGTTCGATTTTATCCATTTTACACACTGTTATTGCATTAAGGCGCTCTCTTAATTTCTTAAAGATATATTCGTTAGAAATTTAATACAGTATGTTGTAGATTCGGGCCCACCCTAACATTATATTTAATTTCTATGTTTATTTTACAGTTGTATGTTTCAATTCAAATTTCTTTATATGCTCTAGAACTGTGTCGCATTCCATTTACATACATATATATCCCGCTACACAGTTTCTGTTTCTTTGTTTGTGCGATTTATATGTTTGCCATTCTCCCTTCGCATAAACAGGTAGGCACAAACTACATATACTAGGTAAAGTAAAAAGTTCGTTCGGTTTTTTATTTATTTTTCAAAAGATGATAACTTTGTGTACATTTGTCCGATTTAAGTCAAATATGCGCCGTTTTGTTCGTAAACTTGTTGCCAACGAGATGCAAACTTTACTATACCCCTTTCGTAGAAGACTGCGTCCCTATTGCCAAAAAACTCGGAGAGCCAATTTTCACAGGCCTCTCTTGAGGCCAACTTCTAACCATTAAGCGCGTTCGCCATGGACAGGAAAAGATGGTAATCACTTGGTTCCAGGTCCGAACTATAAGGTGGGTGCATTAGAACCTCTCATCCGAGCTCCAGGAGCTTCTGGCGAGTCGCCAAAACGTGTGTGGCCTGGCGTTGTCCTGATGGAACACAATCTCACGGAACACGGCCTCTGTTGATTAAAGATGGCCTCTTCTGGATGAGTGCTGCCTTCAAGCGGTCCAGTTGTTGGCAGTAGAGGGCCGCATTGAGCGTTTGGCCATAGGGGAGCAGCTCGCAGTAGATGATTCCTTGCCTATCCCACCAAACACACAGCAAAACCTTCGTGGCCGTCAATCCGGGCTCGGCCACCGTCTGGGCCGCTTCCCCGAGCTTTGACCACGACTGTTTGCGCTCGATGTTGTCATAAGTGACCCATTTTTCATCGCCAGTCACAATTCGCTTCAGAAACGGGTCGATTTGGTTGCGATTCTGCAGCGATTTGCAGATGGAAATTCGGTCCATCATGTTTTTTGCGTTAGTTCGTGTGACACCCAAACATCGAGCTCCTTTTTGAATCCAAGGTTATGTAAATGGTTCCAAACGGTTTTCTGGCTTATCTTTAGTTCCTCAGCAATTAAACAAGTGCTCACGTGACGATCTGTTTCCACTATTTCCATGATTTTATCGCAATTTTCGACGACAGGCCTCCTGACGCGTAGTGCGTCTTTGACATCGAAATTACCAGAACGGAACCTAGCAAATCACTTTTGTGCTACACGTTCGTTTACAGTATCGGGCCCATAAACTAAATTAATGTTTTCAGTTATAGCGAATTTTCTCTTTGTTGGTGTCCATCTTTGACGAGCGCTCACAACGAACTGAGTAAATCAATCGAAAAACTGTCAAAGACAAACTTTTATCGCGAATAAACACGTTTTCAGCGCCGTATAGTATGACATGATGTAACACTAGTACTATGGACAATAACGCCATCTCTTAGATAAAAACCGAACGAACTTTTTACTTTGCCTAATATTAAGTTATCTACATGCTTATTGTTTGTAAACTGCAGTGTGCAGTTCCCCTATTCTCCTGTGCTGATCTGCACGGTAAATGACAATATTTGTGCATATAAGTTCTGGCAAATCATATTCGAGCTTTGTCATCGATCAGCCAGCCAGGAAGGTGGAAGAACACACTGTGGTAAGTGAAATATAATATATTATAATTCTTTGTAAGTGAATAATTTAAATGCTTTTGTATTTAGAAATAAACCATAAACCAAATATGCGTTAAATTTGCCCCACCTCATCGGTGACACAGTCAATCCCGGTTAAGTACAACAGAGCTTAAGTGCCGATCCCTCTTATAACGTGTTTTACTGTATCTCACACCTTTTTTTAATCATACAGTATACCCCGCTTAACTGACCCTAATTAAGTTTATTTGAATTACTTGATCGGTTATTAATATAATATATATAGCATACAAAATACGTAATAAATTTTCCCCCTTAATTGAACCCGGTTTATTGGTTTCCCCACATAATTGGTTAAAAAATGTGTTATTGAAAATATATACCTTTAATTTCCTCCGGCTAATTACGCAATAATGTTTCGTTAAAAAAATAATCTGGCATTGCCGCACATGTGTACATATTTCGCAGCATTTGTGATAAGCAGCAGGTGGCATCTCTACAAACCAATTAACAACATACATATGTATGTAGGAATAGTATAATGATGACACACTTTTAGATTTAGTTTTGAGAAACGCAAATAGTTTATTCACTTATTTAGTTAATTAAGTTTTACAAAGTTTATTTCACAAAGAATTAAGTTCATAAGTAAAGGTTTTTGGTTTAATGAGTGTGTGTCTATTCGTCGTCGCCGTCGCTGTCCTCTGTCCTTTCGTTAAGTCGGTTCGGGTATGTAGGGTTGCATACGTGTGTATTATATGTCAGTTCAGGGTTGCATATGATCATGCGCTTATCCCACATTCGGCCTTCATGGCTTATCCATTTCTTCATGAACTCGGAGATAATGGTAATGCGACTTACGCATTCAGTCTATATTTTGTCGATTCTTTCCTCTTTCTGTCAAAATTTTGTTGTTTTCCTTTTGTATCGATGCAATATTTTGTTTTGCTTGATTCGTGTCGCTTATCGCTCTGAATCTAATTAACCCAAAGCGACGCTTTCTACCAACTCACTTATTACTGTCGTACCTGAAATCCTCATCTCTATCCCTGTTAAATCCTAAACGAAGAAAACTTTGTACTACATGTTTGCGTGTTGTTAATAATTTACGTGCCCTATACCAATTCCCAGGCTCATCCCGACACATCTTAGAAATTATCGCTCTACTTGCCCGTTGTTCCGAAGAACACCTGTAGCTATTACGACATGCTCTATACCTTCCCTCACACCGTAATCCTTAAAGATACTTTCTGTGAACGCAGCACCCCTATCAATTATAGTACGCCGTGGATTACCGAAAATAACGGCTTGTTTTTAAGAGACGATCAACAACTGCATTAGCGCCAGTGTTTTTTTTCCAAGTACAACCACACAAACTACGTAAAAGCATCTACCCGAACAAAAATATAGTTATACGCTTTCTCTGTCTGGTCCATGGGGCTAACATGATCCATGTGAAGATTGCTTAGTGGCCTTCTTTTCTTCCTGTCCTTGAATCCGTCATCATGCATTCGATGTAATTTTTCACGATTCTAATTACTCTTGGACCTAACTGAGGAATAAAAAATGTTTTCTCAACTGCTAACTGCTTGCCAAAAAATTAACAGTCGCCTTCAGGAACTGGCATTTCTCCTACTTAATACTGATGTTTTACTCAGCCGCCCTGTTTAACACAACTTTTAACTTATCTACACCCTGTTCAAAATTACCACGACACCATCCCTCACTAAATCCCGAAACAGTGCGAAAATGTACCAAGTAAATACTGCTGGAGAATTGGAAATACCGAGGGGGACATAAATAAATTCGTATTGACCTTTGTGTCACAAATGAGATATATTTTCGCGAACTTGACTCTATCGTCACGTCGAAAACCCCATTTCGCAAATCTAACGTTGTGAAAACTTTTGCGCCTTGTAATCTCTCAATAACGTCATCAATGAGGGGCATTGGAAAATTGCCCCTCAAGATTTTTTCATTCAAACGTCGATAGTCACAACAAAGACGTTTGGTTCCGTCTTTTTTTCCCATCAATACGATCGGCGATGCAAACTCGGAAACGCTGGGCTGGTTTATGACTTGCTCCATCTGGCTAAATAAGCCTACATCGTCCCGAAAACGTACACACCAACACACCTCCCACATCAACTAACACAATCTACATCACACATCAGCAACATTCACCACATCACCTCTCGCAACATTCACCCCCTCACCTGACGCAACATACACCTCACACAACGACACTACCAGCCGATCACCCCATCAACCATCAACAAAACCAAAAGACTGGAAGCGGCTGAGCTCTTTTTGCGTATCAAATTCAAAGCAGACACCTTGTCAACTTGAAGATTCCCGTCGCGTATCGTGCATCAGGAGACCTGAGCCGGACAGTTCCATTTTTTCTTATACAATTAATATAAGGCATTTGTATACATTTTTCTTTCTGCGCTGCGTCGCAAGTGATTGTTATATTAAGTGGGTTTAAAATATAAGGTCATTTCATTTTTATTACATTGTTACTACATGTAATTGAAGAGTGAGTGGTGAGTGCAATAATTCCAAAAGGTTGGAATTATTTATGGTCCTTCGAGCCTAAAAGAAAGGCACTATCGATTACAAAAAAAAAAATGAACAACAGAGCTACTTAAAGTGACAATGCAGTGGAGTGTTAAAACAAAAAAAAACAAAAAACATCCAAAGTGCTGTGTAGTGTACTA